AAAGAGAACAAGGGGATACTGCATGGTTTAAAATCAAGAAGGGAGTGCATCAGGGTTGTATCCTTTCACCATACTTATTCAATCTGTATGCTGAGCAAATAATCCGAGAAGCTGGATTATTTGAAGAAGAATGTGGTATCAGGATTGGAGGAAGACTAATTAACAACCTGCAATACGCAGATGACACAACTTGGCTTACTGAAAGTGAGGATGACTTGAAGTACTTACTGATGAAGGTTAAAGACTACAGTCTGCAGTATGGATTAGAATTCAATATAAAGAAAAAAAAAAAAATCCTCACAACTGGTCCAATACAAGCTTCATGATGAATGGAGAAAAAACTGAATTTGTCAAGGACTTCCTAGTACTTGATTCTGCTGTCAACACTCATGGAAGCAGTGGTCAAGACATCAGATGACATATTGCATTGGGCCAATCTACTGCAAAAGACCTCTTTCAGGTGATGAAGAGCAAAAATGTCTCCTTGAAGACTAAGGTGTGCCTAACCCAAGCCATGGTATTTTCAAATACTTCTTACACATGTGAGAGTTGGACAATGAATAAGGAAGACCAAAGAAGAGTTGACTTTTGAGTTGTGGTGTCGGAGAAGAGTGCTCAGAGTACCATGGACTGCTACAAGGACTAACAAATCTGTCTTGGAAAAAGTGCAGCTGGAATGCTCCTTGGTAGCGAGAATGGCCAGAGTTCATCTCACCTACTTTGGTCATGTGGTCAGAAGGAACCATTCCCTGGAGAAGGATATTGTGTTTGGTAAAGTGGAGGGGTAACGAAAAAGGGGAAGGCCCTCAATGAGATGAGTATGTCGTAGATGGGCTCAGGATCGTGAGGCTGGCACAGGACCGGGCAGTGTTTCATTCTGCTGTGCATAAGGTTGCTGTGAGAGACAACTTGACGGCACCTAACAGCAAGTGTTAATCTTCCATTTCTAATTCTGTTTTTTGTATAATTTCTGATTGTCTATTCATTTTGTCGTTATGCTCTTGTATTGTTTTCTTGAATTGTTCAAGGGTATTGTCTGCCTTTTCCTCTTTTTTTTTACGGTTTCCTTGAGCTCCTGGAAGTCCTATATATATCTCTCTTTTGAATTCTTTATAAAATAGTTCCATTACCTGCCTTTCCTCAGAAAGATTTCCTAGTTCTTTATTTTAGTCACTTGCTTCCTGTATCTTAACCTGCTCTTTTGTTTGTTTAAATCAAAGTTGTCTGTTGTCTCTGGGACATTTTGAAATTGTTTTTGTTTGTTGGTTATGTATTGGTTTGTTTCAGCCTGGTGTTTTGTTTTGCTTTGTTTTGATATATCCAGATGTGTGGAGCAGGTTTGCTTCTTTGGTTGTTAACTTGGCAACACTGGGGCACTCTCCAACTATCTCTGGTTGGTGGAATAACCAGTGGGAATGTGGAGTGGGTATCTGTTTGTCATGAAGAGCAGCTATGGATGGATTAGCCAGTGTTGCCCACTATCTTGTCATTGATCCAGTGGTGCAGGAGATGGTGGTGGTGCTTGTCCATTGGGTGAAATGGTTGGTATAGTAGATATACATGACTAGTGGAGAGTTACTGCCAGTTGGATAGGGCAGGAAAGAAAAAAAAAACAAAAAAAAAACCCCAAGATGAAAAAGATGAGACAAAAAAGAATAAAAACAATAAAAATAAAAGATAAAAAAAAAATAGAAAGAAAAGGAGAGGGTGGATGAGAAGAAAGATTGGTAAAAAAGAAAGGGAGAAATAACATAAAAGGGAAGGAAAATTGGGATAAAGAAAAGGAGGAAAATAAGGACACTGAGGAGGAGGAATTTTTGTGGTTATCAGCAGCAGCCAGCCCTGGGAGCAGGTTATTGTGGAACAGACTGTTGATCCACCAGGGTCTGTGTCCACGGAGGTGAAAGGAACCTTGTGTGAATGGGTACTGTGGTGGTTATGTTTGTGTGTCAACTTGGCTGGGCCTGGTTGAGTGGCTGGGCAGCTGGTGGTAGTTATTCCCCATGATGAAACTGGGAATCAACTCCATGGTGGAATCTACCACAAGCACCTGAACAGCTGCTTTGGGTATGTGGTCAGCTTCCCGTATATAAGAAGCAGCTTTGGGAATGGTCTCTAGTTTATGGCACGCTTGGACCCTGCATGTAGCTGTGTTCAGCAGCTTGCCATGGTCTGTCGACCTTGGGATTTACAATGGACTTGAGTTAATGGCCGGCCATGTGGTTTGGTAATATTGGGGCTGTGCCATTTTATTTGTCGACCTTGGGCTTGTTCACCTCAGCAGCCAGTAGCTGCCTGAGTGAAGAGATGCCTCTAGCTCCAGTGGGCCGGGAGTGAGAGGCAGAGCTGAAGCCCAAGGTCGAGGGACTTTCACCCAGCCTCTAGAGCCTGGCACTTTGAACTTGGACTTAAAGCCTCCAAATTGTAAGAATAGACTCCTGTTTGTTAAGGCCATCTCAGTTGTGGTATATTCTTGTCAGAGCAGAACTAGTTAACCAAAACAGGTACCTTCAAGAGAGTAGGCTGCAGCTGTGTGCCTGTTGTTTTCATTGTGAGAAAAGTCAGTGACACAGCATCAGAAAGGAGAGCCGCAGCCCCTGGGTTGGTCTGTCTGGTGTGAGTTGCTGAGGGTGGGTAGGATGCAGAGGAGGTGGCTGGTGGATCCAAGTGGGACTTCCCTAGCCACCAGCTTGGGTGGGCACAGGCAGAGGTTTCACCCCTATTCATTTGGGAAGCTGTGCTTGTTAGAGCAGAGAATGCAGCTCTCCAGTCACAATTCACTGGCTTGGGTCTGGTATCCTTCTGGGCACATGCAGCCATTGATCCAGCTCGTGCCTAGACTCAAGTAAAAGGCCACCCTGAGACTAGCTTCTCAGACTGCTCTGACACAGCCTTTTCTCCTTGCATAGGTCCTTAGCCCAAATGACTAGTATCTACTGTGGTGAGTTACTTCATTCACTTTCTCTGGCTCTCTCCTAGCTCCCACATGTCTTCTGCTTACCTTGAATTCCTTCTGATCTGTCTGCACTGTGTGTTTATCACCTGTGGATTCTGTGAAGTTGTTTTCTCCTCATCTGTGTCTGATCCTCCATGCTTAAAATGATGACATTTTGCCTGGTTCTGGCTTGTTTTCTTTCCCAGGTCATTGACCTTGCTCCATCTCCTTTCCAATCCACTCCCAATCTAATTCTTCATCCTCTCATTTGATGCTCAGAATTTCAGGACTGTTATGTGTATCTGTTTCACTCAGTTTTTTCAGGTCTCTGTTGTAATGGGATTGGGCAAAATGTGTTAGCAGGGCATTATTTTGTCTCTGTCTTTCACTCATCCCTTTTTTTCCTTATATTTTATCTGAGTTGTTGTTGTTATGTGCCGTCGAGTCAGACCTGACTCATAGCGACCCTTCCTTGGGTTTCCGAGGCAGTATCACTACGGAAGTAGATTGCCCCATCTTCCTTCTGAGGAGTGGCTGGTGGGTTTGAACTGCCAGCCTTCTGGTTAGCAGTCAAGTGCCTTGGGCACTACGCTACCAGAGCTCCCATATTTTATCTGTAGAGTGTCTTATAGTCTGAATTTTGATGATTGCATATTTATGATGTGGTTCAACTTGCTTCGGTCCTCTGAATTTCCTTCAGATTTGGTATATAAATCCAGAGTTTGATCTTTTTGGCAAGGTGATATGTAATACAAGGGAGCCCTAGTATAGCGGTGATTAAGTGCTAGGCTGCTAACCAAAAGGATGATGGTTCTAACCCACTAGCTACTTTGTGAAAGAAAGATGTGGTAGTCTGCATCCATAAAGATTATAACTTTGCAAACTTTTTCCAAGTTTTACTCTGTCCAGTAGGGTCACTGTTAGTTGAAATTGATTCAAGGGCAATGGGTTTGGTTTTGGGATTGATATAGGTAGTATATCAGAAGACACATAATTTCAAATTGATTTTCTTTTTTGGAGTGTTAGCAACTGTTGATGGTTAATACCTAGATACATCAATTCAGTAAGGGCTGCAAAATAGTGATATTCTAATTTCATGAGTTCTTGCTCAGCTGTTAGTTGAACTCTTTCTATAAAGAGGCACTCTGTCTTATCTATATTTTCCTTAACTGGTAGTTTAGTTCATGAAGAAAAACAGAATAAATGCTTGATTCTTTCCTCTTACTTATTGTCTTTCCCAATAATGAATATACTCTCTGTCATTCAAGATGACTAATTTTTTGAAGTATTGTTATGAGCAGGAGCTCTGGTGGTGTAGTACCTAAGGCATTTGACTGCTAACCAGAAGGCTGGCGGTTCAAACCCACCAGCTGCTCCTTGGAAGGAAGGTTGGGCAATCTACTTCCATAGTGATAGTGCCTCGGAAACCCAAGGAGGGGTCACTATGAGTCAGATCTGACTTGATGGCAGTGTGTTGCATTGTGTTATTGTTATGAACCAGTGTATTTGAATATATTTTATATTTTTTAACTCATTGCAAATATCTATTTTTTGAAGTTAAATTTGTCTCTTCCTTGGCTCAATGGGAGCCTATTTTATTTTATACACCCATGTAAGGAAGCCAGAGTTATGGTGTACATTCCTGTTTTACAAAGCAGAATAGGAGATAGAAAATGATTGTCTAAGTTGCCCTCAGCCATTTTCCCTTGGGTTTTTCTGTTGGTATTAATCACTATCCAGTTGATCTCTGACTTACGGTGACGTCATGTGTTGCATAGTAGAACTGCTCCATAATGTTTTCTTGGCAGTAATCTTAATGAAAGCAGATCAGCAGGGCTATCTATCCTCCATGGTACCACTGACTGGGCTTAGGGTGGGCTTGAACCTTTGGTTAGCAATCAATGGCAAACCTGTCACGCCACATAGGAACTCTGGGGTTTTCTTAGTCACTATTATATGTCTCTTTTTTTTTTTTTTTTATGCTACTGGACTTTTTTTCACACTTTTTAATTGATATCTGTAAGCATTGCATTTATTATTTCCTGTGGTGTATGCCTTTTTCTAGGCCAAGGGTGGAGGTTATGAAAGTGAAGATGCGTATCAAAATGCAGAACTAGTTTTTTTGGATATCCACAATATTCATGTTATGAGAGAATCATTAAGAAAGCTTAAGGAGATTGTATACCCCAACATTGAAGAAACTCATTGGTTGTCTAACTTGGAATCTACTCACTGGCTGGAACACATTAAGGTGGGTATATGTTACTATTTTCTTATACTATTATAGAATATCAAACAACTTTCTCTGCTCCTTTGTCTATATTGGTTATTTGTTTACTATTAAAATCAACATGAAGGTACCTTCCTAAGCAATGAAAAATTGATAGCTGCTTTAATAATTAGAACTACTTTAAATTTTGATATCTGAGTTGGTGCATTTGATTCTATTGTATTTCTTTCTTTCCTGTTCTTTCCCATCTTATTTTAATTCTGCCAAATCCCAATTCATACTTTAGTTCTTCTATGAAGTCTTCCCAGATCACAACTATTTCCATTTTCTCTGAACTCTGAACACTAGCCCACACACCATTTATTTAAGTACGATCCTATACTTCATTTAATTGCTTTTATGTGTCAATCAAAGTATATTGCCAACTCATGAAAACCAGAAATGGTTAAATTGTATTTTTTAATGCTCTTTTCAGGAGGTGGGGCAGCACTATCTGTGTAAGTAACAGACATACAGTAAATACTGGCTGTATGATTTGTAAAGTTAAGACCATTCTTGTCAGGAAAATAAGGTAGAGTAGTTGAATGAATAATGCCATTTGTGTGTAAAATGATTTGGAGTCCATGGTGTAAATATTAATTTGCCTGGCCTGCTGATACTATGTTTCAAGTGCCAAACTATTATTTCAGTTAATATAGTTACTTGTACTTTCAGATGTGGTCTGAATTTCATTAACATACCAAAATATAGACTTATATAACCACATTGTATTAAATAGTCTGAAATAATGAGAAATGCAGTTTTTTGTGTTAAGAAGGAGCAGGCTTGCACTCATTAAAATCTCTAAAATCTTGACAAAATTGAACAGAAGGCCAAACTAAACCAATGAGAATTATAATTATAGACTATTTTATTATTATTTATCATCTACCACTGAATGTAATAAATTTTATACATTCATCAATTAGCATGTTCTTGTAGCCCATCTTTAAAGTGTTTGGTGTGCAAATATAAAACTGTTAAGACTTGATTTCAAACTAACATAAGTTTCTGTGTACTGTCTCAAAATTCTAGGTCATTTCACAACCAGATTTGTTTTCTCCAAAGGGCTGGCCATGAGAAAAATAAGTTTCCCTAGGGCTCTGGTGGCGTAGTACCTAAGGCATTTGACTGCTAAACAGAGGCTGGCGGTTCAAACCTGCTAGCCACTCCTTGGAAGGAAGTTTGGGCAATCCACTTCTGTAGAAGATATTCTGTAGAGATACTGCCTCAGAAGGCACGCAGTGTCGCAGTGAGTCAAATCAACTTGATGGTAGTGACTTTGGTTGTTTTGGTTTGAGAGGTGTAAAAGATAGAATTGTGCCTGGAATGTACACTTCTCTCTCAGTCTTTATGCCCTTAAGGCTTATCCACTCACTTTCTTCAGATCTCTGCCTGAATATCACCTCAGAGAATCCTTTCCCAACCATAATACACAAAACAACAGTTTTGCCAGCACTGTCTGTACACCACGTGATGCTCTTTCATTTATTGCCATTTGGCATCCTATATATTTCCTTATTTGCATATGTTTTATGCCCTAAGTAGAATGCAGACTTCATTAATTAGGCACTGTGTCTGTTGAATGTTGTATGTTCAGCACCTAAAGCAGCCCATCACATAGTAAAAAAAAAACAAAAAAACCCACTGCCATTGAGTTGATGCTGACTAAAAGTGATGTCCATTGGGTTTCCAAGGGTGTAAATCTTTACAGAAGTAGATTGCCTCATCTTCCTCCAGTGGAGCAGCTGATGGGTTAGAACTGCCAACTTTCTGGTTAGCAGCCAAATGCCTTACTCACTATGCCATCAGAGCTCCTTGTCACATAGTAAAACCATAAATGGTTATTTAATGAATTAATGATTTAAAGTGATAACTTTGAAACTCTCTGATCAGTCCTAACTTTCCAACTCTTCTGAACTTTATTTGGTTCAATGATTCTTAAATCTGGATATGCATTTAAATCATTGGTGGAAGTTACTTAACATAGTGAATTAGCACCACTGGAGAATAGGACCCAGGCATCTTCTTCTTTTTTTTTTTTTTTTTAATTCTCTTGGATGACTGATGCTTAGTCAAGATTGAGATTGCTGTAGAATAACCCATTTCTAGAATATATGTACAGTTATGATCAAAAAGGTGGTTGTCATGGTATTCTCCAAGACTAGTAAGCCTGTTTTCCTTAATTCTGATCTATGTTAGTGAACCATACTGTTCTTAAGTATGATCTGACCATTGCAGAGAAGACTGGGGCTGTGATGTTTTTAAGATCGATTTCAGGAAAAGTTATTTTGCAAAGAATATATGTATGCTTAAAAAATGAACTAAAGTTGTTTTAGATCTAGATAAATTAATATGATATGTTTATCAGATATGAATATTTATGACACCATATCACAGAAAGTAACTTGTTTTAAAGATTTACACTATGCTTGCTGTGTGCTGTGTGACTTGTATAAAAACTTTGGTCGAAACAATAAATGCTATATAATATTTTAGAAGAGATCCTGTTGTATTGTTTTCAGATACTTATTCTAATTTGATGAAATAAGCGTTGTTTTCAGTAATAAATAATGATTTATTTGGCATCTTAATTATTTTAAATAGATGATACTAGAATATCAGATAATTCTTAGATCTCTTTAGAACATAACCCTTCTTTTCTTTTATTCATACTGTTTATCTGTTTAGCACTTGAAGGTACCTTTCATTTAGATATTTCATTGTTCAAATTAGTAAGTGTCTGCATTTATGAAATGTTTTTAGTTTTAAAAGCAAGATTTATGTATTTTGTATCATTTACAAAAATTCTTTATAGGAAAGGGCAGATAGTTTTTCTCTCCATGTTAGTGAGACAGTTATCTGTAACAAATCTCTATTAGTAAATTTTGAAGAACACATTCAGTTCTTCAAAAATTTAATTTAAAAAATCTGTTCTCAAGCTTATTCTTGCAGGGGCTCTTAGGATTGCTGACAAAGTTGAGTCAGGGAAGACGTCTGTGGTAGTACATTGCAGTGATGGTTGGGACCGCACAGCTCAGCTAACTTCTCTGGCCATGCTCATGTTGGATGGATATTATAGAACCATTCGAGGATTTGAAGTCCTTGTGGAGAAAGAGTGGCTAAGCTTTGGACATCGCTTTCAACTAGTGAGTGAAGAACCTTGGTGTATCATGTGCATCTCAATAAGGCATGCAAAAATTGTGCCCTTTCATTAGATGTTCACCTAAAAACTGATCACTTATTCTAGGATGATCTCTTGAGAAGTTTTTGCTTTGGAAAGTTATTGTTGTTGTTGTTGTTATGTGCTGTGACTCATAGCTACCCCTCCTTGGATTTCCGAGGCAGTATCACTACAGGAGTAGATTGCCCCATCTTCCTTCTGAGGAAGTTACTCTGCAGTCTCGAGTCAGGACTGGCATTTTGTCCAGTGTCTGGCACTGTCTTTTCTGTGATCTCTACCAGAAAACATCAGATATTGTTAAATGATTTCCATGAGTGTTTCCACCTACAAATGATAGTCAGTTTAGTAGGAAAGTCCAGGAATTACAAGGCACTTTTGGCTTTTCCTGTAAAGTTGTAAAAAGTTGAGAATGGCTTATGTAGCCATACAGAATAGCATGGTTCATGTAGGATCAGGGTCTAAAATAGACTGGACTGAAAGAAATCATAGAGTAAAAATAAAAGCTTAACTCAGAGCTGGGAATAAAATGCATAGCTTTTTCTATTAAACTTTTTAAGGTACTAACACTTTGGAAATGTTTACAGATAGTTTTATGAAAATGGCAAATTTTTGAGCCCTCTTTGAGGCTCAGAATTTATTGTGGTACTAGTGTTGTTGTCAAATCTCAGAATTGGAAGAACTTCAGAGTCCAGGTGTTCTTTGTTACTTGAATGTCTTCTTTGGTGTCCCTGCCAATCATCTTTTAGTCTTATTAGCACCTCCAGAAATAAATAGTGAGTCCTTTCCTAAGGCTAGCCAGTCACACTTCCAGGAAAGTCTACTTGCTGGACTTTCTACCTTCTTCTTGATAGTGAGCTGAAATTTGATTACTGTTGTCGTAGATTCCCCTGTGAAGACATGAGAAGAACAAATATGATTCCTTCTCCAAATTAAGGTAGCCCTTCAAATATTTGAAAGCTGCTTTCAATCCTATCACCCACAATCTTCAGTTCTTAAGGATAAAAGTCATTTTTCTTCAGTCATTTCTGTCTACCTAACAACCTCCTCACAATCCCTACATTGTTCCCTGGACTTTATTCATGGCTTTGTATAAGTGCGGTACCCAGAACTAATCACAGTTCCTTAAATACAAGAATGGAGCTATTATATGTAGTATTTGAATGATACCATATTTTTGCATTTGTTTTTTCCTTACATCGTAGTTTGGATTCATGGAGCTGTTAGTTAAATAAATGTTCAAGTGGTTTCCAGCTATGCTTCTGCTAAGCTCAATAGTAAGTAAAACACTAAATTTGGAATCAGAGAACTTGAATAGTACTCTTGTTGGCATTGGTCTTCTCATGTGTTGTCCATATATGTTAGTTGTAATCCTGAGCAAATACCTCGCTAAGAATGAGCATGGTGAGGATAGATTTATGGGAGGGGTACGTTTAGCCAATTCTACAGTGGGGAGGCAGATTGTCAGAGGCCTCAAAGCCACTGAGGGCTTGGTTTCTGGGTAGGATTTTATCAGATTGGCTGAAAAACTTTCTGAAAGATCTTTTCCCACATGCCATCTCTAACGTTAGGCTTCAGTATTTAAAAGTTACCAATGTATACCAGCAAGCAATATTTATTAACAACTGAAAGGTATGGTACGGACATTTAAAGCTAGTTTCTTCTTTTGAATTGGAACTATTAAATAAAATTATGCATCTAACAAGCTCTGGTGGCATAGTGCCTAAGGCATTTGAATGCTAACCAGAAGCCTGGCAGTTCGAACCCACCAACCACTCCTCAGGAGGAAGAATGGGCAACCTACTTCCCTAGAGGTACCGCCTTGGAAACCCAAGGAATGGTCGCTATGAGTCAGATTAGACTCAACAGCAGTGAATCTGGTTTGGTTTTGGTTTGGGGTATCTATTCAGAGGGCACATTATTTTTCAGTTTACTATAAAGTATACTTATCATAAAAAGACTATTTAAGAAAAAAATTCTTTCTGCAAAGAAAAAAGCCAAAGCTTTGCAAGTTCATAGAAACGTGGCTAAAATCATAAGCATTTCAGACTGTGTGAGGTTGCTGTGGATTCTAAATTGCTAACATAGGTTACCAAATTTATTTTTTTTCTAGTTGTTACCTGAAAGCATAATTTTAACAATTAGAGGGCATTCAGTCAGGGAGTATGTTCACATGATTCATGTAGGGCAATGATTCTTAAAATTTTTGGTTTCAGAACCTCATTGTTGATGACCCCAAAGAACTTTGTTTATTTGGGTTATATCTACTAATATTTTTCATATTAGAAATTAAATGAAAGAACTTTAAAAATATTAACTTGAATTAGTAAATATTTATTATAAAAGAGTAATATATAAATTTAAATATAAAATATGTTTTTATGAAAACTGTTTTCCAAAACAAAAAAAAAGTGTATTGAGAAGAGAGGCATTTTTCACATATTTGAATATTCCTTTAATGAAGACAGCTAAATTTTCATATCTACTTCTCCATTCAGCCTGTTGTGATATGTGTTATTGGTTGAAATACAGTGAAAACTGTGAAAGCCAGAACTCAACAGGACTGCCCTGTTTTTCTGGGTCTGCCAAGTTTTCTGCTTTTGACAGGGTGCACTGTTACCACTTTTCTGTCTCTGCTTTTAGTGGAAAATATTTGAGTTTTCCTTCTCTGACCGGTTTTTGCCTTACACAAGTTCTGTATTTTGCAGGTTTTACTCTATTAAAAGAGAGGGGTGCTTCCTAAGGTCCTTGTACAAATAAATGTTATTTATTAGAGGGAAATTAAATCTTCAGGACAAATATCTGGGCTGTGAGGTCTGACTGCTCCAATCCTCTATTAACAGCCTTTTAGGAGCTGGGTTTCCTACATTAAGCAAAGTGGTAATTCCTATTATAGGCATCTAATGTCAGAAAAAAATCTAGCAATTTGTACATCAAAATGTTAGTAGCTATTTCTGCTTGGTAGGATTATGTGTGTTTTTTACTTACTTGCAATGCTTTTTAAGAAGAATCTCTTTTTTTTATATTGAACAAATATTACTGAAAAATAGAATTATATTTATTAAAAATGAAAAACAAAAAACTCCCCAAAGCTCATAGAATATTTCACTGTCTTTGCTTTAGAGAGTGGGCCATGGAGATAAGAACCATGCAGATGCAGACAGATCGCCTGTTTTTCTTCAGTTTATTGACTGTGTCTGGCAAATGACAAGACAGGTAACTTAATCTGGGATATCCATTCTTACATATCTCTGTCAAACATTCCAGTCAGAGTTGTGAGACTCGATCACCACCTTTCCTGTAAAATGAAAATTCTTGTAAAGTTGCCATGTGATAGGACTATTATTTATTGTCATACTATAAACTAAGTTGTTTTTGTGTGCTATCCAGTTGATTCTGATTCACAGTGACCCAATAGGACAGGGTAGAACTGCCCCTTAGGGTTTACAGAGCTGTAATCTTTAAGGAAGCAAATTGCCAGCTCTTGTTCCACTCCCATAGAGTGGTCATGGAGATAAAAACCATGCAGACACAGACAGATCACCTGTTTTTCTTCAGTTTACTGACTGTGTCTGGCAAATGACAAGATACGTAACTTATGTCGGATATCCACTCATCTGTCAGTTTGTCATACTTTAGTGACTTGGATGTTGCTGTGAGGCTGGAGGCTATGCCACTGGAATTTCAAATACCAGCAGGGTCACCCATGGTGGACAGGTTTCAGCAGAGCTTCCAGACTGACAGACTTGGAAGAAGGAAGGGGCCATCTGCTTCTTCAAGAACTGGCTAGTAAAAAATCTTATGAATATCAGTGAAATACTATCTGATACATTACTGGAAAACTTTATGAATAGCCCTGAAACATTCTCTGATATAGTGCTGGAAGATGAGCCCCTAGGTCAGGAGGCACTCAAAATACAACTGGGGAAGAGCTGCCTCTTCAAAGTAGAGTTGACCTTAATGACAGGGATGGAGTAAAGCTTTCGGGATCTCCATTTGCTGATGTAGCAAGACTCAAAATGGGAAGAAACAGCTGCAAACATCCATTAATAACCAGAACATGGAATGTGCGAAGTATGAATCTAGGAAAATTTGAAGCTGTCAAAAATGAAATAGAACACATAAAGATCAATATCCTAGGCATTAGTGAGCTGAAATGGATTGGTTTTGGCCATTTTGAAGCAGACAACCATGTGATCTACTATGCTGGGAATGACAAATTGAAGAGGAATAGTGTGGCATTCATCATCACAAAGAATGTTTCAAGATCTATCCTGAAGTACAATGCTGTCAGTGATAGGGTAATATCCATACGCCTACAAGGAAGGCCAGTTAATACTACTGTTATTAAAATTAACGCACCAACCACCGAAGCCAAAGATGATGAAATTGAAGATTTTTACCAAATTCTGCAGTCTGAAATTGGCCAGACATGTGATCAAGATGTGTTATTGTTGGTGATTGGATTGCAAAAGTTAGAAACAAGGAAGAATCACCAATAGCTGGAAAATATGACCTTGGTGATAGAAATGATGCAAGATAGAATTTTGCAAGACCAATGACTTACTCATTGCAAATACCTTTTTTCAAGAACATAAACACGGCTACACACATGGACTTTGCCAGATAGAATACATAGGAATCAGATCGACTACATCTATGGAAAGAGGCGATGGAGCAGCTCAGTATCTTCAGCCAAAACAAGGCCAGGAGCTGACTGTGGAACAGACCATTAGCTGCTCATATGCAAGTTCAAGTTGAAACTGAAGACAATTAAAACAAAAACAAGTCCATGGGAGCCAAAGTACAACCTTGATTATATCCTGTCTGAGTTTAGAGACCATCTAAAGAATAGATTTGATGCAATGAACACTAGTGGCTGAAAACCAGAGGAACTGTGGGATGACATCAGGAACATCATACGTGAGGAAAGTAAAAGGTCAATACAAAGACTGGAAAGGAAGAAAAAAATAAAATGGTTGTCAGAAGAGACTCTGAAACTTGCTCTTGAACTGAGAGTAGCTAAAGTAAATAGAAGAAATGACAAGATAAAAGAGCTGAACAAAGATTTCAAAGAGCAGCTCGAGCAGACAAAGCCAATTACTATAATGAAACGTGCAAAGGCCTGGAGTTACAAAACCAAAAGGGAAGAACACGCTCGGCATTTCTCAAGCTGAAAAACTGAAGAAAAAATTCAAGCCTTGAGTTGCAATATTGAAATATTCTATGGGCAGAATATTGAATGATGCAGGAAACATCAAAAGAAGATGGAAGGAATACACAGAGTCACTGTACCATAAAGAATTGTTCGATATTCATCCATTTCAGGAGGTGGCATATGATCAAGAACTGATGGTGTTTAAGGAAGAAGTCGAAGCTGCACTGACAGAATTGGCAACAAACAAGGCTCAAGGAATTGATGGAATACACACTGAGATGTTTCAACAAACGGATGCCATGCTGGAGTCACTTGTCTATGCCAAGAAACTTGGAAGACAGCTATCTGGCCAACTGACTAGAAGAGGTCCATATTTGTATCTATTCCAAACAAAGGTGAGCTTACAGAATGTAGAAATTATCTAACAATATTATTAATATCACACAATTAAAATCTTGCTGAAGATAATTCATAAACGGTTGCAGCAAATGTGTTGACAGGAACCTTCCAGAAATGCAAGCTGGATTCAGAGGTTAGAATATGAAACAAGGGATATCATTGCTGCTGTCAGAGGAATTTTGGCTGGAAGCAAAGAATACCAGAATGATGTTTACTTGTGTTTCATTGTCTATGCAAAAACATTCGACTGTGTGAATTATGACAAATTAATGGATAACATTGAGAAGAATGGGAATTCCAGAACACATGATTGTATCATTAAAACAGAACACTGAGGTACTGCATTGTTTAAAATCAAGAAGGGTGTGCGTCAGGGTTGTATCCTTTGACCATACTTATTCAGTCTGTATGGTGAGCAAATAATCTGAGAAGCTATACTATATGAAAAAGATAATCTGAGAAGCTGTACTATATGAAGAAGAATGCGGCATCAGGACTGAAGGAAGACTCATTAACAACCTGTGATATGCAGAACAATTTCTCTGAGAAAAATCAGCACAAGGCCAATCCCCATGAGGCAGAGGTTAAAGATGTCCCAAATGTCCAGACTACCGTGCCACACCATCATTTCAGACATTAACTCCTCTTCCTCCTGTCAGTAATCTCCCCTGTCTTAGGGTTCTCTATTTCACTGTAACACCTCACAGAACTCACAGACATCCAAGGGATTGTTTCACATAGTGGTGGTGGAGGCTGGCAGGCTGGCAAGTCCTAGGTGTGTAAGTAGGTTTGGAGGATCCTCCCAATTCTCGGGATTTGACAAACCTCAATCAGCAGATCAGATGACAGCTGCTGTCCCAAATCCAGGGTGAGATGACGATGAGCCAAAGTGCAGAGCCAGAGCAAGAGGAGGGTGAACCTTCCTAGAAGATTCGTATGTATACCCTCAAGGAAGCAAAGGGTGGTGATTTGAGTTATACCCTCCAGCAAGGCAGGACTCAAGATACATTCCACCTATGCTGCTCCAACAGAAATAGCCCAAGTAGATGGCTTTTATAATCAGGAGTTTAAAAGCAGCTAAATTCCACCAGAGAGCCAATTGCTCATCATTATAGGGAATAACTACTACCAGCTTCCCAGTCAACTTGACACATGACCTTAATTACCACACCATCTTAAACAGGCATGGATAATAGGATTTACAATACATCACAAAATGGAGGACAATGGCTAGAAGGGCCACATCAAGCAATTCCCCACAGCAGACAACACAGCCTTGCTTGCTGAAAGTTAACATGACTTAAAGCTCTTACTGATGAAGATTAAAGACTACAGTGTGGATTACACCTCAACATAAGAAAATGAAAATCCTCACAACTGGACCAGTAGCAGCATCACAGTAAGTGGAGAAAAGATTGAAGTTATCAAAGATTTCATATTACTCGGCTCCACAGTCAACACCAATGAAAGCAGCAGTCAGGAAATCAGATGACGTACTGCTTTGGGCAAATCTGATGCAAAAGATCTCTTTAAAGTGCTAAAGAGCAAAGATGTCACTTTGAAGATGTTACTTTGAAGACTAAGGAGCTCTGGTAGCACAGTGCCTAAGGCACTTGACTGCTAATCAGAAGGCTGG